ACTCTTAGTTTTTAAAGAATGATGCTTCTGATAAATTTTTTTCATCTATCTGTTTCTTATTTCATTATCGCTGTGATGCACGATTGCACCTAGAACGTGCAGTGCCTTTGCTTACATTTTAATCGTTTCTTTATTCTACAATATTTCTAACGTTTTAGCTGCATACTGGTTTTATGATGATTAGTTCTTGTCTAGCTGTTCAACAAAGTGGTAGTTGGGATGGTGAAATTTTCTGCTAGTTATATCAATTACATGCTCTCTTGGTACTCGATTTTTCTTTACACCGATGTCGTCAAACTTCAATTTTCGTTGTTTAAGAAATTCGTTAACTTGTCACGTATCAAAAGAATCATGTACAGACACCCACATAACAAGAAGAGTGGGCACAAAATAATGATGAGATATCAATCATTCCTCTATGATAAGTGATCTTTCTCTTAATATATACATTGAAATTATTTTATTTCTCCATCATATGTTGAGACAAACCCCATTTCCACTTCACAATGAATACATATTTGTGTGTTCTTGATGAGCCCTAATCAGTCAATGTAATCATACATATTCAAAAGTAAAGTATTCGAAGAAAAAAAATTGTCATTGTCACATAGTGAAGAAAAGAGTATAAATTATTGTGTATTGAGGCATGAAGTATGCATTCATTTGCTCTTTTTGTGTTGTAATGATGTGCATATGAATGATAATTAATTGCAATTTGAAATGCATTTCAATTATTAAGGATAAATAATATTTCTTAAACTATTTTTTGGGTCACCAATTGTGACTAGGATAATATTGTTTATGAAAAGTCCTTTCAGAAACCTTTGTGGCTAGTGAAATCCACGTCCTCTCTACATCAAAATCTTCGCATTTTGCTTCACTTTGTGACTTACAATTTATTAATGAATGTGCTCAGTCTTTAATCAGATAAACCTACTTTGTTTCCCCTTTCCAGATAGTCATTTCAGTTTAACAAATTATTTTCCTTCTTATACTGACCCTATTACAAAGGATTAGTTGCGTAAGATGGCAAGATAAGATTCATGTAAAGGTGTACACCAAACTCAAGTGGTTACAGTGAAGATTCCCAAGGTCAATGGTCTAGATTCGAGCCTTTTTTGAGGGGGAGGGATGAAATTAGGACTAGACAAAACTCTCAAATCGAACCGGCCCCCAATCCAAACCGCTTCTTAAGTTAAATACTTGGGTAAGTAGTAGAATCGAAAATCAACGG